TCTTTTACTACTTTCTAGTTACTTTCCATTTTGCTTCAGCCTTATTTGACCCACAGAAAGTAGAGATGGAAATGGCCAGTGATGCTGGAAGTTTTATGGCTGGTATTATTTTGGAGGTCAGATTCACTGATAATAATAGTCCCTTTTGGCTTTAAAAGCTTCAGAAGAAATCCTAACTCCATTGAAGTCAATAGCAAAGCTTCCATGGGCTTTGGTATGGCCAAGATTTCACCCTGAGTACCTAGTAATGAATCTTTGACATCTGCCTTCCCCCTTCTGCCTCTTCTCCCTTTCCCCCTCCTTGACTTGAAGTATTGATCCAGGCATTTATGTTTTCCAATGTTTTGTTCAGTTGTGGTGTAACTACTTCAAGACACAACGTCTTCTCTTTGTCCCCTGGAAATAGTTGCACAGGCTAATAGTTTAAGGAAGTTTTTGCTTGAAGAGTTGAGTGACAGAGCCAAAGTCTGTTCTTGGTTGAACTCGAGTAAATATGGAATAGCTTGTTGACAATGTGGAGTTACTCTTCTTTTATGTCAGTGTAACTGAGAGCACAATTTTGCCAATTATTAACTTTTGTTACATTATTTATATTTCTGTGCATGTCAGGGTTTGTTAATGTCATCGTTCAACATCAAGTAACCTTTTGCTGAAAACAGAGCGTCATTGTGAATTAGGTATCATCAGCTAAATTGAATCTCACCCTGTGCGTTTGACAGATGGTAATGCATTCATTAAGTGTTCTGTGGTTGCTTTGAGGTTGGAAAGTGCTATTTTTCTGGCTTCTAACTCAGGATTCTTAAGTAAAGTTGTCTAAAGCATAGTTTTGAAGGGAGAAGGAAAATCACAAAGAGCTTGTGAGGGGTTTTTTTTATTAATACTGTTGTTTACTACTGGTGGGGTGACACAGCAGGACTGTGATTGCTATAAGTTGTCTTGGGCTGCATAAATAGCCCAGACTGGAGGGTGGGAGAGATGGTTCCACAATGGATTTTGTATATACATAGCTAGAACTTCTTAGAATTTGAAGTTATATTAAATACATCACTGTGGAGGCAATATGATGCTGGTTACTTGGTGCTTGGTGAATTCACTGTCCAGAAAGATGGTTTCTAGGAGTTCAGACATTGCAGCAGTTGCATGGGTAAGCTGATGACAGGGCTCCTTTTGCAGAACTGGTCACATTTAGGATCTTTATATTCACATTGAAAGTCTTCAGGATGCGGAAGCAATTGGATGTAGGCGTTCCAAAAGCAACATAGAGCTACATTCTCAGGCATAGTTCCACTCAATGTGGCAATATTGAATCCTCCACCCTGACATTACCGAGGCAATGCAAGGCTGAGATTGACACTTCAGGAAAAGTTCTCCGCACATCTGATTTAGTGGGCACCTAAACCAAATGTAGAAGAGAAGACTCCACTGACTACAGGAAGCTCAAGGTGTTTAATTCTAACCTACTCATTTAATTTACTCACTTCACAGAACACTAATCCCACCCATTGATTTGCAGTGGAGCCTCAGCTGTTATCAGCATAAGTAGTTACTTAATGGTGTTTCCAAGAGAATTAGTTCCCAAGGGAAATGGCTGCTTAACCGCTTCTGAAATTGCAGGATCTTGCTCATGGCTATGTTGAACTTCATGAGGTGTGCACTGGCTCATCTCTCAAGCCTGTTGAAATCCCTCTGGATGGCAACCCTTCCCTCCAGCTTGTTGACCACATCACACTTCCTGGTGTCATCGGCAAACTTGCCGAGGGTGCACTCAATCCTACTGTCCATGTCACTAGCAAAACCAGTACTGGTCCCAGTACTGATCCCCGAGGAATGCCACTCATCACTGGTCTCCACTCCATGAAGCTGTTGACCACAGCAATTTGTGGTCACAGAGAAGACTTCTCCCAAATGTTTTTGTAAGAAAGAAAAAACTGTCCTCCTTTTGATACCTCTCTGTCCTGGGGAGTCACTGGTGAATTCAAACACAGGGTGAGTTCTCCCATGCCATTTAGAAACCCCTTGCTTCAATATTTTTGAGACTCGTTTTCATCCTCCTACTTTCAGTGGTTATTTCTCTGAGCACCTTCTCAAGGAATTTAAGCCTTCAAATCATATAGATAAATCTGAATCTGTCAGGGCACCTAGAAAGAAGAAAGAAGTATTTGCAACATGGATATTTGCATATAGATTTTAAAAAATGGCTTGAAAAACATTGACAGGCTTTAAAAATCTGATTCTGTACCTGAGCTCTATTTGAAATGACAGTTTTAGGATCTTAATTCTCTTAGCTTTTCAAAATTCTATCACTATTCAGTTGGAAAAAAGGCAGTTCTCCCTTCTTTACTATTCTTCAATTTTCATGGTTATTGTGAGAGATTTACTACAATCAATCAGAAGAGTTTTGATTAATTACATGGGGTCATTGGTATCACAAGTAGTGATCCAGTTCTTAATTATCAGGATATGGGATGATCTTGCCTGTGAGATGTCAACAGGATCTTGTGGGTTCCAGCAGTGTCTGTGAATTAGGTCACAGATGTGTTAAACCCTGAACATATACTTATTTCTGGCCAAAAGTTGCCGTATGCAAATGCCAAGTATGAATTCAGATAGATGTTTTTCCCACTGTCACAAATAGGCTTTACTCCAGGCATTGTTTTTGAGACAGCCATGACGCACTTTGATGTATCAAGAAGAGCAAAAAAAAAGCCCAACCCTAATAAGTTCCAGAAAAGTTACATAAACACATCTCACCTGCTCCTTCTGTCTTTATACACACACCTAACTGACCCCATGGGCTAGCATGAAACATCTAACATAGTACTGATATTGGAAATATTGCAGAGAACTCAGAGGACCAGCAATCCTACTGGGTGACGGGGATACTGGAAAACGCTCAGTGCTAAGCCAGTTCTCTAAATTCTGGATGAGCAAAATTGAACTAAATAACAGTAATTTAATTCCGCTGTCTCTAAATGAATGCGCTATAAGAGGACATAGTCTGAAGCTGACCAAGAGAAGAACTATCTATTCAACAGGTGTTATGGGTCAAACCAGAAAGAGATTGCTAAATCTTTTGAGTGTTGCCACATGGGGGTATATTACACACTATGCAATTATTATCCTTCAGTAGAAGTTATGCAGCAGAGCACAGCTGCAGACAATTAAAGGCACCGCTGCCAGCATCTGACAGCAGAATGTCAGTGTCAAAATTCAATTTGAATTGATTAAATAAGGGATGGCAACACTGTTTTATGGATGGCAGCACTTCAGTCGCTTTAGATGCTCTGTTTTTTTTTTCCCTCCCTGCTATGTTTGTTGGGGTGTTTTCAGTTGGATTGCAGTCATTTCTCCAGTCAATCAATTAAGCCAGGATTTGCCACTGTGTCTAGGAGTCAGCCACAAAAGAGCTGGTATGGCTCCCTGGTGCTTGGCCAAGAGGCATCAGTGGGAGCAAGACATCAGGCAGTTTAATCTGACTTCCCCCACTGGCACAAGGTTTAATGGATGGTGAGGCAGCAGAGAAATCATGCTCTGTGGTGTTCAGCTCCTGCTCTCTCAATGGCCCTGAATGCCTCATTTCTCTCCATGCCAAAAACACAGGGGCGGCTGACAGCAGGGCCAGCAGCGCTACCTGTGCCAGCAAGCTGCTCTGTGCAGGGTGATCCCTGCAGCCTTTTGAAGCTTTTGTTGTGCTCCATAAATATACTTACCTCCACAGGCCTTGTAGTGCTATACCACCTGAGTAACTTGACTCATTGAGTAGTCTTCCCCAAGTTAAATGGCAGTAAGTTACTCAGAGATATAACATTTTACAGGATTATGCCTTAAATGCTGACTCCAGGCCAGATCTGCAGCAGGTATAAATCACTGCAGGTAATTTTCACCAGCTGAAATTCTGGCCCTAAGCCCATGAGTCATGTTGTTATTTTTTCACATTGTAAATTCTTGCTGTTTCTTATTTTTATTGCTTTCACACTCTGGGGCACTTGTCAGGGGCAAGGGCTCATCGTGCTCGTCACCCTTCAAACAGAAATGCAGAAGACCCTTCTTACCCCAGAGTGTTTGACATTTAAATGCCATGCAAACCTGTGCCATTCAGCTTTCTGTAAGTGCATTATTGCAGTCAAGTTTTTCTATTATCCTGCCAGGAAAGTATAACACTAATCCTGTGCCTGGGCTGATACTTTGAAGCAAAAAATCTGTACTCTTCTTTATACTATGTCTAAGTGGCATTTAAAGACCTGAATTTGTTAGAGCCAGCAGCAGTGTGGGATGTGGTCTGAAGTGAGAGAGAGCTCCAAAGTCTGCTCTCCATTGGTTTGAGACATGTCAGAAAAAGAATTTGCACCTAAGTTGAACCTGAATTGAGGGAATCTTAAAAGTGACTGAACATCTCACCTCTCTTGTATAGTGCTGTATTTCATTATCGTTAAATATTAGCAATATTATAGAAATATTACCTTCATTTCAGTTGCAGTGTATCTTCCAGCTCTGTAGAGCTCTGGTTACCATCTTCAGAATTATTGCTGTTGTTTTTGGTTACTCAGGAAGACATTTAAAAGTTGCAAAACTACAACTTCTTAGAGCTGAAGTAATGCTGGAAAATTCTGTTTCATTACAGTCTATCCAGCTGTTTAGAAATATAAAGTAGCAGTCTACAGGGCTCCAGTTTATTGTGTGATGGCCTCAACAATCCAGAAGAATATTGTAGGGTATATGTGTTTTATTGGTGTATCATACTGACAAGCTGTTCTTTCCTTACATGACCTCTTTGTGCTAGTCAGGAGAAGACATGGCAGTTAGTTTCCTGTGTCTGCTTTTTCCATTTTAGGATGAACTTTACCTTCAGGCAGACCTTGCTGGGCTACTTTGGAGTGCAAATTAACAACAAAAAATGGGTCTTAGCTTTTTTTCCAGATACTACCATAGCCATTGACAATAGGTGTTTCTAAATAATTCTTACTCTGCCCTAATCACTTAATCATTTCTTTTTGACAAAGCCCTTGAAAAAGGCTTGGTGAAGGCTCTGAAGAAGCTGGATGACTATCTGAGAACCCCTCTGCCAGAGGAGATTGATGCAAACAGCACTGAAGAGGAGAAAGTGTCTAAACGCAAGTTTCTGGATGGAGATGACCTGACCCTTGCTGACTGCAATCTTCTGCCTAAGCTCCATGTTGTCAAGGTAAAAGATGTCACGCAATTACAAAGAAGCCTTATCTGACAATGAAGTGCCTGGCTCTGACAGCTCACTGCTAAAGTCAATAAGCATTTCAGCAGAGATACCTTAAGTACCTTTGTTCCTCACTATTTCCTAAAAGTAACTTAAGTAACGTTGTATTAAATACACGAGGAAACTGTCTCATCACTAATTACTGGCAAAGACAATATTAAGATCTAAGTATCTCATGTCTTTATTTTTACCCTGCTGCAAGTCTTTCATATTAATTAGTATCCATCATTCTTAAGAGAGACATTGAAACTTCAGTCAGTTCCCACACATTTATAACTTAAGAGCACCAGTCCGTCTGTGTGGAGAATATTTGTTCCAGCTGGTATTTCACACAGAGAAGTTAACAAATCAAAGTCACCGCCGTGGTCCAGGATTTAAGATACATAATGGTCGCTGGTATAGTGTAAATGGTGTACATCATCTTGACTTGTAAATGTTGCATCCACTTAATTTATAAGGTGACATATTTCTTTAGAATAAAGCAAGTACCTGGAAGACCTTGGCAACCAAGTAAGCTAGGAATTAAAGCCATGCATCTAATTTGGCTCCATGAGCCAAAACATAAACCGAGCCTGGGAGCTGACTGCACACATGTAAAGAAGGAAAAAACAAAACAAAACAAAAGTGCATAAGTCACCAGGTAAGAAATGTAATAATATCCTCACAGGTTTAGCTCTTTGTTTGGCTTGTCTTCATTGGTGACATTGAAGTCAGATGGTGCAAAATGAAGATGTGGCCCCTTACTGGTTCTTGTCCCCTTGGACGAAATGAAAGATGTTAAAAGACAATTAAAATCTTTCTCAGACAAGCATAGCCAGAGGATATTGCCTGAAAAGCATTTTGCAGATGGAAGAAAAGGATAAATTAGTTTTTCATTTGATGGAAGATGTGTGCTGGAAATTGTGAAAATGTTGACTTAGGTTGTCCAGCGGGTTTTATCTTCCCCATGTGTGTGTGAAACATCACTGAAGGCAAGAAAGCTTAATTAAATGCAGTTTAGGACAGGATTTGGACTTGCATATACCAAATGAATCCTCGTAATAAAACCAAATCACAGTCATTTCTGAGACCATGACTGTCCTGAGAAATCTGAGATGGAAAGTAGCTCTACCATGTGCTTTAAAAATAAAGGGGAACTCTGTGGCACATATGTATGTAATTTATGCCTAGGAACAATTTTATACTGTCAGAAAAATTAGAGATTGGAAACACTCATTAAATTAGTTAATCCATCCCTTCCTATCAGCAGTTCATTCTGTCACCACAGGATTATTCTATATGGTATATTCTTACAGGAAAACTGAAATATCCCAATCCAGGAAGCTACTTAACCAACCAACGAGCTTTAAGCACAGATTAGTCCCATTGACTTCAATGGGACTATACAGGTGCTTAAAATTAAGTATGCACTTAACTATTTTCCTGAATAAGGGCCTGAGTGTTTTTAGAAATCAAAAATTTCCCTTGATAGACAATTTCCTAGTCTGACAAGTCTGGAAATAACCATTTTCTCTCCCAGTTTACCCTAATACTCCTGTTTCTAATGTCTGTTAAATCATCTTGGTTTCTCAATCATGGTACCCATACCACCCTGAATTTTTCCTTTACATGAACACAGATACAGCCTTCCAACAGCTGTATGTGGTTATATCCTCTGACACCATTGGCCAGGCAAAATATATTGCATATATTAAAAATATAGATACAGTATGTATAAAATAAAATGATAAATATAAGTGTAAAAAAATTAATATGAAGATATGTTATATAAAATTGTTACTAATACCTTTCTCTTAAACCTATCTTGCATTTTATGATTCAGCTTATCAGCTTTTTCTTATGTGGCATCTCAGCTTCAAGTAATCTACTTAAGTCTAGTAAAAAACACCAAAAAAATGACATGGTAAAATTAGTGAACTTCAGGTAACATAAAAGTCATAATATGGTGACAGTAGCCAAGCCATTGGTTTAGAGTGTCTTTAGGCCAAGTAGAATTCTTGCAAGACATGGGACAACCAACAGTCACTTTTCAGGCTTTTTTGGTTCTCAAGTCCCTGGGTCTCCAAACATTTATCTCCTTGCTATTAATTATATAACAAGAAAGAGTAAGAAGCTCTCTAAAAAGGAATCTGGAGATGTATCAGTAGCAATTCACTCTTTTTCCCTCTTTTATCTTTGTTCAGATTGTTGCAAAGAAATACCGCAACTTTGAGTTCCCAACAGAGATGACGGGGCTGTGGCGGTACCTGCAGAACGCGTATGCCAGGGATGAATTCACCAACACCTGTGCAGCTGACAAAGAAATTGAGCAAGCTTACGCAGATGTGGCCAAGAGGCTCAACAAGTCCTAAGTGAACCTCAGTGGTGGCTCAGTATCCCCTTTTATAGACTCTTCTCCTTATTGCCTTAAGATATACTTTGTCATTATGCTATCTGGTTGGCATCCCTATGACTTCAAGTGTTCAAGTGTATTGGTCAGGGACAAATCTGGTTCTCCCTGGAGAAAAGAGAAGGCAGCTCTAGTGTGGGGCATGGAGACCCTTTGAAATCTGAACCTAAGATCTTGCTCAAGTAGTATTACTTGCAATCAGTATTTGAAATGAGTCCAATTTACTAGTTTCTTTTTTCTTGTTGGGGTATATCACCGCCTGTATTCTTTGGAGTTTTAAAACTAGGATATTAGCTGAATTTTCAAGAGTTAGGAACACATAGAACTGGTTCTTCCATAGGCTATTTCAAAGACGCTTTTTCCCCCTGTGCTACTGAGATCCTTGAGGCAGGAGCAAAATCTGAGAGGGGTAGGGGGGAAAAGAGTATGACCCTAAAGAAGAAATGCTTTTAGCAGTTATATTTAAAAAAACCCAACTCTCGGACTACATATTCTGTCTTAGCAGGCCCAAGAGTTTATAGGGTATTTATTTTTAACTTGGCACAAGAGGGGGAAGCCTGAGCGAGTATGTCAGACTTGCAGATGCTACTTTGCATAGAATTTGCATGATATTGTTAGATCTGTATGTTTAAAACAAAAAAGAGTGAACGAGCAATTGAGCGGGCAGCCCTTGGAAGAGCCCACTGGATCTGCAAGTTGGTAGAGACACGCAGACACAGCAGTAACGGTGGCAGCGTATTGTCTCCAGTGACTATAGAGGGAATTGGCACAGCTAACTAAACCATGTAGGATATTGTCGTCTTGACTGTGTGGTTGCCAGTTCTTTTATGATTGCTATCTTGGGAAACTTGGATAGGCAGGAGAAAGTTGTCACTGCACACGAATTTCAAGCCGGGGAAGCATTTTCTTTGTGTTGGGCTCTAGATGGGTCACTTTCAAGCACTCATCATCTCACCCAAGGAGAAATTTGCTCTGAGAGCCTCAGAGAGGGCAGGTTAAAACAGAATGAGGTACATTTCCATCCAGAAATTCAACAAGTATGCTAGCCAAAATCCATGCATGATGCCTTTGTCCATTCATCCAGGGTTTACCCATCGAGGTTACATGATTCTGAATTAAGATTATTTTCTCAAACTGATTATTTGTTCTGTCTGTAGCATCTGCATGACACAATCTGCTTTATATGAGTGATTATTTGCACTTTACTTTAGCAAATTCAGAATGACAGATCTTTTGCATGAAACCCAACTGCCCTGATACATACAACAGTGCACATGGCTCTCGATTTTCAGTTTGGGGAAATTTAGCCTTGTTTTCAAGGATAAAATAAAGCTAAGGTGCGATGCAAGGTGGCTCCCCTTCTGATTGGAGCTGCTAGAGCTGCACTGGTTTGAAGGGAACCACAAGCTCGTGAGCTCTGGCCGAGGGGAACCTCACAGCAGGCTTGTTTGCTGCCAGAAAGCTGGAGGACTGGAGACAGGATTGAAAGTCAGCCTTTGCCGTGTGATGCTGATGACAATCTGAAGCCATCCTCTTGCTTTGGTGGGATTATTCCACTTTTCACAATAACCAGCTGGGAGCAGAATGTTGATTGTTGACTGTGAAGATAGTTTGTGGTCGACTATTGTTTCGCATGCAATGGTCAATTTGTTCTGAACTTTCAAAATCTTGGAAGAAAATACATGAACTCCCAAGTCTTCTCCTAGACTGGGCTATTTTAACAGTGGCTAGATGGAGAGCAAGGGCTCACACTCTTTAAAACTTTGCTGAGAAATCAACTGGCTCAGAGAACACTGATAGCAGCCAGAAAAAACTAATGAGATTAGAAGTGTCTGCACAGGCACATGTGGCTTGTTAAAAACATTTCTTCATGAGATTGGAATTATTTGTACTTTTAATTTTTTTTAATTATGGCAACTATTTATTTATTTATTTTAATTGGCTCAGTCCTTTCTGTCTGTCTTTCTGGTTTTCACTCATCACACTGGTCAACATGGCTCTGTCTCTTTAGAAAAGTGTCATTAGCAACGGTCTGCAAATCCATTTGTAGAGAAAAGTCTTCTATCTGCTTAATGGTCACTAGGATTTTTTAGTTTTCACTACGATTTGGCTGGGGGCATGCCCATCAACAGAATCTGCATTTTTCTCAATTGTTTTTTTCCAGGTTTGTACTTCAGTTAATGCTTTTGTTTAATCACAGTTGCAGTGAATCTTTGAAAAAAGACACAGAGGCAGATGCAGATTCTTACGTGCTTACTATATTTAGCTCCTTAAAGATTGTAGATCTCAGGTAGGGTAGGTGAATCAGTCCAGGGTCTGACCTGATTTCCACCTGAATCTTCACCAGTTTGCTGGATCCTGTGGTTCTGGTAAGTTCTAATGTCTTTCTCTGGTTTTGCTAGAAGAGAGCTAAATCACAATCAGTTGATCTCAGTGACCTCAAGTTGCATCTATTTGTAAAAAACTGTGTTTAAAAATGGTTGAGCTTATAACAAAAAGAAAATGAGCTGTTAGTGCAATAAGCTTTTTTTTTAAGATGATTTGTATGTTCTTAAAATCTTTTTAGAATTTGATTATAAAATCTGAAAATCCCCAAGCTACTTTCCTTTTAATTAATAATAATAAAAAAATCCTTAAATATCCTTATTATTCTAACATTCCCAAAATAATCTAGATAAATGTATTGATGGATATAAGAAAAAGAAGGATATAAGAAAGAGGAAAATGAAACAGTTCTCATCTACTGTGCCTTTTCTGCCTGAATTCAAGTCTCACTCTGCATCCTAACTTTGCATTTTACTCCTAACTCTACTATAGGCTGATCCAAGACCCAGGCATTGACGGACCTTTGTTTGGGTTTGAAATCCAAGCTCATATATTCAGACCTGTAACTTTTGCTCACCTTTGTGCTTTTTGGCTTTAGCCATAGTCAGAAGCAGGAAATACTGGAAATCCTACATAGAAATGTGTTTTGCTAGGATTTTTAGCTCAGTTCTCAAGACTCAGGATCCATCACTAGTGAGATTTTAAAAGGCTCCAGACTCCTTTAGGCAGGGTATGTTTGGTGACCTTCCATTGTATTTAGAATTATAAGTAATAAATATTAATCATCCAGGATTCTATATCTACATTGGCAAGGCAGCATTTCTGAAAAGAATCTAAGTGACAAGACAGACATTGCAGATTTACAATAACTTTGTTCATAAAATTTTTGCAAGATGTAAAGAAAGACATAGTGCAGAGGGGGAAGAAGCCAACAATGTGGATTTAATCATCTAATTTCAGAAATGCAGACCAAATGTCTGTAAAGATGTCCATTTCATCTAAACATTTCTTAGATATTTATTTCAAAGCTCCCTGTTCAGTCAATCCAACACTCCATTCATATTGGAACTAATATTGATTTTTCTTCTATTAGCAGTGGTATGGGAGTGCTACAGGATCCCATATATTAGTTACACTTATTCTCTGTTAGACTATTTGAATTGCCAACAGGTCATCTTGCTGTACAGGTAGAACTAAAAAAGCGTTTTTCAGGAGCACCTAAATGAGGGCTTCTGACAAACATTTTCTTCCAGTACCAAGAATCCTATAATAATACTGCTTTATCAGGTCTAGTGTGGAATATAGAGCTGTAGGTTACTTCTATGTTTGCAATAGCTGCAAAGCCACTGACAGGGAGGAATGACAGTCTGTATCACAAAGAAACTAGACATCTTGGTTTCCTACAAGAAAGCTCAGCTGAATTGCACATAGCATTTATTTTGAATATGTATTCATTTTATTTTAACCCCTAGCCACGTTTCCACATCTCTCATCCCCTGCTCAAATTCAGTTCCAAGTTAGCCATAACCATTCTGCCCTTTCCTCGTGTTAAGTAGCAGGGTGCTCATGGATGGGTACGTGGAGAACTGTGTTTTAACTTAACCCATCTGTCTTGCGGGATGAAGCAAAGAGAGACCCTATTCTGCACTGTTTGGCTAATTAGCTGAGTTTAAAGTATTGCAAAAACTTAGACAACGCAAATCCCACTCATGTAAAGCCCCAGAAGCACATAGATACATTCACTTTTAAAAATGAATTGGTGTTTTAAAGAAAAACAACAAACCCCAAAGTCTTATGTCCTCCTTCATGTGTATTCTTTTAAGCAGCAGGAAGTTTGTATTTGTTTATTATTCTGCTAGGTATATTCACTATTCTTGAATTGCTTTCGATATTAAGAAACTTTTTTTTTCCAGTAAGATTTTGCCTTTCTGCTGAATCTTTTATCTCTTCATTAATTTTGATGTCTGCAATGACCTAGTAATTCCAGAGGAGGCTGGAAAGCTGTGAGGCTTATACTTGTTGAGAAGTTCAAGGAGGTAATGATTTTTTTTTTTTAGAAAACAGTATTAAAAACAGTTTTAAAAAAATGTGTCTTTTCATCTGGGATACTTAAAACTAAGAGTGATAGACTGTTTAGTCTGGACTGTGATTTTCAGCACAGACCTGAGCAGGCCACCATGTTTAAGGCGGCTTTGCTTGCGTATTTCCCAGGATACATAGGGATGTACAGAAACCCCATCCAATGCTGGTTTTCAAAGCTTGATCAGTCCATGTTTTAACATGTGACATAAAGGTCTGAGGATGCCATGTAACTTCTCAGGCACTCACCATGCAGTGTTACAAGACCCAGCACTGTCTCAGAGACTGCAGCAATCATGCTATTCCCCTGTTGCCTCAAATCATTCCCCTTTCACCATTCATCGCAGGGATGCTGAAGCTGAAAATACTCCAGAGGATGCACTTGAATGTGGTGTATTTTGAGCTGTGCTCATCAGCTAACCAGCTCTGAATGACGACATTGTGGCAGCTCAATAGTTTGTGCCTCTACTGCCAAATGGATGACCCATCACTTATTGGAGTAGCAGCACTTGGGTGGGAAACGCTGAAGCTGCTCAGGCAGTGATGGTGCAACCATGA